AACAAACCATCAAGATCCATCAAGTACACATTTCTCTGTACATGTGCACACATATTCATCTATTTCTGTAATGTTTTGTATATATATATATTGTATATAATGTTCTGTGTTGTGCCGACCATCATTTCAGGTCACATCTTTAACCAAGCCCCACATTCACACCCCTTCCTCGGCGCATCCCCCTGTGATCCGACGTTTACCAAGGAACGGCAAGCAGGGCTCCACCAGTACAAACTTGTTGGACAAGATCAGGGTCCGAACCTTTGGTCAAAAAATAAGTTGAACATCAGAAGGTGGAAATATGTTCAGCAACAATCACAACAAATCTGTCCAAACAAAATATATGCCTTCCACTCATGTTCAGAATGGATCAGATGTGCTGCAACCCAAAAGAGAAACCAAAATCATCAACGAGTAGCGGTAGAGGAGATCGTCGTTTTCTTGCTGCACATTGGAAAAACAAGTCAAATCCACCAAACGTCTCTACCCTCCATTCTGGCAATGAACACTCACATCAATGTTGTTGTTATCGCGTTCACGTTTCACTTCACGTTTCACCCAGGTGCCTTGGCAATATTCACCTGTTGTTCCGAGTTCCTTTGACATGAGAACACTCACGACGTGACTTAGTCAAGTTGCGAATCGCCAACTTCCCTCTAGATCAGGATGCTCCTTAGTATAGGAATCTTGAAGTTTATATGCAGCATATAGCAGTTCTGCTTCGCGAAGCAGCCCTAAAAATCATCGTGGGATGCATTGAACTATTTGAGTTTCTTGGGAACATTAATTTTTAAGTTGCACATGATTTTCCATGGTGATCCATGGATTTCATTTAAAAAAAAATGCAATTTCTTTGGATGTCTATTTCTACTCAAATTATGTTATATAACTTCCTTGTCGAGGATACCCTCCGGCAATCAAACATTATAATGGCTACGGAGAACCCCCATTTTAATGTTAGTTCAATGATTTTCCCATTGAAATGTCGATTTGTAATGAATTATAGGGAATTTCCCAGCTAGCCATGTTTGAATTCCGGAGGATTTTGGGCGGTTATCACCTGCACATGCACCAAGGAACGCTTTTGCCAGGATGTTCAGCGGGCTATATATAAACCCTCGAAAAGACTTGGACGGTGAAGTACTCCGAAAATCTAAGCACTTATCCCAATACTAAGACTATATCTGTAAAGATCTGTAAATATTCCACTACGACTACGCTCCATTCCATGAGTCAAACCCAACAAATCTCAACGATAAACAATTCCCTTTTGTGGTTAATTGCACCTATTTGTGATGATATAACATGACCCCCAAATGGTTGCTTACTGGGATGTTTTATCATGAGGTTTCCCTCATTGTAAGGGTTTATAACTTATAGCCATAGACTACTATAATATATATATATTATATATATATATACAATACTATATAGATATAATTCTGGCAACATCTACTCTCTGGTAATCTAACGTAGCCACGGAACAATTTAGATCATCTGGGAATGGGTCAAAATTCAAGACCTGGGGGGTCACAAATTTAGGATGATATCCAATGATTGGGGTACCCAATTTTGAGCCATACCTATCTGCAATTGATCAATTGGATATCTATACCATGGCCATGGTGAATTCCCAGAGCGTAGCCTATCGTCGCCACGGGCGTCGCCACGGGGCGGACTCGATGACCTTCGTCATGCTGTCAGGCAGCAACAAATCATCCGCGTCGACCTTTGGGGTTCGGTCAATGGGGGATGAAGATCCACCAAACTTCGGATGTAGCAAGACCAAGGATATTGTGGTGATCCAAATGGAGATATTGCCGCAAGTTATGGCATTGTTCATGGATAACCATGGAACAACCATGGATTTTCTCAAGTTTGAGACAAACCAAGCATAGTGACCCGGCAGAAAACTCACCCTTCGATGCTGATATAGCTACGCGAATCTCAATTTCAATAGGTCAATCATCTATTTCTATTTGCCATGTTCATCCATTTTCCATATCAATGTTAGTTTAGGATAGTTTAGGCGACACAAACGGCTTAGTTTACTGGAGGGTAGTTATAGTTGCTTCCAAAAGTAGCTGCACCCAGTTCTCAAGCATCTCAGGAAATTCCGATGCTGTAAGGCCACAATACAGTACAGTTCTCGCGTAGTACAGGAATAGGATGTTGGGATGCTTAAACCTCCCCTGGGTAAAAAAATGATCTACAGAAAAAAATACTTTACTTCGAGTTATCACCACCATGACATTTATGCATTTTGTTACTGGCAAATCTTCTGGCATTCTATCTGACATACCTTCTGGCATTTTATCTGGCATATCTTCTGGCATTCTATATATCTGGCATATCTTCTGGCATTCTAGCTGGCATATCTTCTGCAATCTGTTCTGGCATATCTTCTGGCACTCTATCTGGCATATCTTCTGGCATACCTTCTGACATTCTATCTGGCAAATCTTCTGGCATTCTATCTGGCAAACATTCTCGCACTTTATCTGGCATACCTACTGGCATTCTATCTGACATTCTATCTGGCGTACCTTCTGGCATTCTATCTGGCATATCTTCTGGCATATCTTCTGACATTCTATCTGGCGTACCTTCTGGCATTCTATCTGGCATATGTTCCGGCATATCTTCTGGCATTATGTGTGGCATATCTTCTGGCATTCTATCTGGCATATCTTCTGGCATTCTATCTGGCATATCTTCTGTCATTCTATCTGGCCGTTGAGGTCCAGCGGTGCACACTGAGCTGGGAAGGTCCCAGGTTGAGGTCCAGCGGTGCACACTGAGCTGGGAAGGTCCCAGGTTGAGGTCCAGCGTGCACACTGAGCTGGGAAGGTCCCAGGTTGAGGTCCAGCGGCGCACACTGAGCTCGGAAGGTCGCAGGTTGAGGTCCAGCGGTGCACACTGAGCTGGGAAGGTCCCAGGTTGAGGTCCAGCGGTGCACACTGAGCTGGGAAGGTCCCAGGTTGAGGTCCAGCGGTGCACACTGAGCTGGGATTGTCCCAGGTTGAGGTCCAGCAGTGCGCACTGAGCTGGGAAGTTGGCGAAGAGCTTGGCGAAGAGTTGGCAAGGCGGAAGTTGAGGTGGAAGTTGATGCAGACATGGTCGAGGAGAAACTGGAGGAGGAGGCGGAGGAGGAGGACGAGGAGGAGGACGAGGAGGAAGAGGAGGAGGAGAAGAGCTAGCCGAGGAGGAGAAGAACAGCTCTGATAAAATCTAACAACCCTCACCTGGCAGGTGGGGAAAAACATGTTGAAAATCCGAAAGCTTTGCAAGAACTCAATCAAACCTTGACTTTGCGAAGGTGCTGACGTACTCTGAGATTTTTTGTGCCATTCAAACATGCTTCTTCATGCACACCACACACAGAGATTCTGCACTGCTGTCTCTTTAAAATCCCGAAGCACCATGCTGCTGAAAGGCAAACAATTTCATTGCCATCACTTCAAGCAACTGGATCCTGAGCTGATGGGGACGCTGGTCGGTAAGTAGTCATCACAAATTGTGCATGGAGAAAAGAACTAAAATGAATTAAATAGAGATCAGTGATACCAAAAGGTGGGTTAGATTCGTTTTTGGCATTGCTGAAGAGATATGAAATTATCAAGAAAGGATCCACACGCAAGCATGCTGAGAGTCTAGCCCAAGGTTTCAAAATCAAAGGAACGATGTATTTCTACAGATCATATTGGTTCGTCTGCAAATGGGGTACTCTGAGTTCCAATGAATTGTCATAATTTTCCGTATCAAAACAACCATCTTGGATCATTTTGGGGTATTCCCATTTTATATCATTGTATGACAAACCCATCATACATTACATGCTCTTAGATTTGGTGTCATCAGTTGATGCGCATTCCCTACCACAGGAGAAACCAACCAGCCATGGTACGATTACCAGCTTTGAAAGTGGCGCCAAGTACTGACCTACCAAGCAAAGGGTGGGTCAGCCCAAACTACTAGTGCAATGTGATGCACTTAATACACATTTGATTTATGTATGTCTGTATACATAGCCTGTAATATAGTATATAGTATGTAAATGTATGTAATATCACAACCAAGTGTGCTCAAGTATCACTATCTGCAATTTCCAAATTTCCTAGAGCATCACCAGTACGTCATAGCTATTCATAGCTTATATACATTAAAAATACTTGCTTCACATATATTCTATCCCTCCCATTTCCTAATGAATTCATGGGCCATCCCCGAAGAACATCGAAGAACTGGGTCCAACTCAGATCACCATGGGACCATGGGATAGATCCAACTGAGGTATCTTCTTAAGCTTGGCATGCGCAGATATCTGATATAGAAGCAGAAGACTCATTTAATAGATCCATATATATATATATATCAGATATCCACATTATATTATTATATACAAGTATATATATGTATCATTATGTATATATATATACATATTTATACATATTGGCATTTAAATGTAAATATAAACATATATATATATATACCTGTGAAACCTCGCGACCATTTATGATTGGTTGTTTGTGTGAACGACTGCTTGTGCACGAAACGGCCACTTTGACCACGAGGCTCCCGGCCGCCAAACAATGGTTCATGGGAGAAACTTATTATGTACAGAAACACATGCATCACCAGGTAAGTGCTCTATAGGCCCAGAATGCCCCTATGGAATTCAACATGCCAAATTTGTGATACCACGTTTTCATCAATCAGTAGATGACGATTTACATTTACTCTCACCTGTGTGCTGCATGTATCCAGCAATGGCTACCCAGCAGGCACCACTGGCACGATTCTTTGCGCCCATCACTTCCCCAAGGTCTCACACATCCACCATAGACTTGCCAGGCGCAGAGCAATCCTTGGCCGAGCACGTTCCAACAATAAGTGACCCAGGGTGGAGATCTGGCAGCAGGGTATTGGGCTGTGGATTCATATCAGCCAACCTATGTTGATGCAGTGTTTGTGGCTAGGCAGGTTTAATTGTGAGTGCCATGGCAGATCCAAACGTGGAACTGCGTGAAACCTTTTCATATGTTGAGCGATGCCTTCGTGCTTGGGAACTCAGTCGTTTCTTGAGAAAACTTGGCATCAATGGTGAGAGCCTGGTTATGGGAGAAGATACCAATGATGTAATCCCTCCTACTTTGCCGAACATCAAAGCAAACTATGCCTTGTTGAAGGGGTTCACCCAGCACATGGCTAACACAGGGGTTATCATCACCAAGCTGATCGGCTACATCCAGCCTCCAGTGGTCAAGTTTTACGAGCTGATGGAAATTGATGTTACAACATGTGATGCCAAAGCTGTCATTTATGCCACAAGTTTCATCATCAAGAAGATGCTTCATGTTGTCCGACGGAAGTGGGCAAGGTGGGAAATGCCACGTGAACTCCAGTACCATTTTGGAATTTGAATTCGTTTAGCCAACGGGCCAACGGGTTACAACTGTCACAATCTATATTCTTGTTTTTTCTTCCTAACACCCCTGCTAGGACAAGCACGTTCGTGATCTTGTCTTGGACATTGCCAAGGCACATGACAAAGCTCATCAAGACACTAGCTGGACCTAAATTATATATTTTACGTTTGGTATATGTTGACCCCTTTATTCTGTAAACCCGAGGGATTGTTTTATTTTCATGTTACCATTTAGAATCATGTTAGGAAGGGCGATCCCCGTGGATTTTCTCAGATGACTCGCATGATGATGACGATGATGGGGATGATAACGATGATGCTCCTGGCGATATCACATCTGATAAATCTAGTGACTACACACTTCGTTCAGCTCTGTCCCGTGGTGATTCCCTCTTGAGGGAGGCAGAAGAGGAATCTTGGAAGGAGGTGGAGGCTTTGGCCGAAGCCGATGATGAAAAGGCATCGGCTCAAGCTGTCCCAGAGCCGCCTTTGCCAGCTCAACCCGTCCCTTCCATGGAAAGTTCGAACATGACCAAGTCTTCAGGTCACGATTCTGATGTGCAGGTGGTGGAATGGTGGAAGGTGACTCCCAGGTGATTGAGTCCTTGCCGTCGACCCCTGGTAATGCTAGTGCTCACAATGGTCATGGTGTTGGTGGTGGTTTGCAGCAAGATCAGATCCTGCACCTACTGAGCATTGTCAAGATGAAGATGCCCCTCATCTTGCAACAAAAGAAATGCAATCTTTCATGTGGAACCAACCAAAAATTTTACAGAGTTGTTTTGCTTTCATATCGTTAACCGGTCATTTCGTGCCCTGCTGAGGAACAGATCCTGTCCTGAGACCACGCCCTCACAGCCAAAGGTGCCTGCTGAAGCTGCAGCTCCTGCGACCAAGGGTGGCTATGGAAGGATTGGTCTTTGTTTTGACACCCCTTTGCAAGCCAAGCTATGCTCGAACATTTACCATAAATCCAAGACATTTCACGGATGAATCTTACTATCCAATAAGAAAGAACATGCGAAACATTTCAAGTTTGGAACGATTCCCTTTCTCTGATCAAGCCGGTTCTTCTAAGGTACTTCTACGGGCTCAGCCGCTGAAACTGCGGAGACTATGCCAATGGAGGTGGAGGACAATTTGGCGAATCACGGTTCTGATCTCATGCGAGAGATGGAACTTGAGAAGGCCAAAGAGTTGAAAAGCTTACCCAAGGACGCAAGTTGCGAAACAAAATGGGCGGGCATGGTTGGATCAGGGCTGAGGAAGAGCCTGGGATAGCAATGGATGACGTGCAGTGAGTCTGCCTAGATTAAAATGCCAAAGCAACATGTCGACTGAGATGCCAAGGTAGCATGCTGTTAATCATTTTTTGAACGCTCACATGGCTGTTGTGTGTAGTTGTTCCTATAACCATTTTTTCCAAGCTCCATGGATAATAATCATTTTCAAGATCCAACACCTTCAGGTTTGGGGCTCTGATTGGGTTCTTCCACAGCTTTGCTAATTGCCCAACGATCTTTGGAATTAATTTTGCATTGGGCATCCAGCGGATCCATCCAGCCAAGGCTCCTTCGAGTCCGCTCCCAGGGCCTCTTCTGCCTTCACCTTCCCACCTGCCGGATGGGGCTGGTGAAGCTGGTGCAGGGGATGATGGTCGTGATACGGATCAGCCGGCAATCCTTCATGTTGCAACCATGAGCCGAATTGAGATGAACAAAGTCAAGAGGATAGTCCAACCAAAACCGAACTCTGGGAAGTTGGAAGTTCCAAAGGACATCATGAACATGTGGAATACTGCGAAGGGCAAGGAACAGCTGTTCAAAATGTGGGCCAAGAGCGGAGGTGTCAAGGCAGGTCAGTAAAACAATCTGATCGCTATACGCATGACTCATGACACACCATGACATAAGCGGCATCTAATATAATATAGCACTGGTTACTTCCATCCTTTTCAACGTTTTTAGATGCTTGGCACTAGGCAGTCTTCTTGGAGAAGGTGGAGATTCTCAGCGTCACCACCAAACGCAAGAAGATTGAGGTCACTGGTGGCTTCTACTCAGAAGAGGACATGAAAACGGAATTGGGTTACAAAGAGATTTCTGGCTGCATGTCCAAAAATGTCCAACGCAATTTCAGGAAAAATGCAAATAACAAACGCATGCTGGGTAGTTTTTGGTCTCATCTAAGGGACCGCATCGAGAAGATCAAGAAGCTGGCCATCGCCAAGAAGCTTGTCAGGTGTGGTCCACGTAGGGTGTGGGCTTAATTTGTGTGGACCGATGTGCCTTTGATCACATTCATAATCCTTCCAAAAAAGGCTGAGGGCCTTTGAAGTGCACTGTGTTATTAGTGCCCTTTTGCATTTGTTTTGGAACCCAAAAATTGTTGAAAAAGGGCACCTCCAAAACAAAAGTCATAACAAAGACTTTTCACTTTCTTTGTTTCTTTGCAGTCTGTGTCATTTGCCAGGGTGTGCGAATATGATGCTGATGAGCTCGAGTACTGGGTGAATGTGAGAACCACTGGAACTCTCTCCCGCGAAGACCTTGAGACCCTTTCAAGAACACGTGTTCATGAGGGCGAGGCCCCGGCTGACAGCATGGATATGGATGAGATGGACATGGGCCCAGGTGCCTTTGAAACTTTTGGGAAAGGGGATATGCCTGTCGAGGGGGATGCCACAATGAATGAATCTCAATTGCATTACCTACAGTACATGTCAACTTCATACATATCAGCTGCAAAGATTCTCAACCCATCCCATGTGATACCAGTAGTCTTGAATAGTTTCTACTTAGGCCCAATCGAAGCTGGGCATGTACATGAAGAATGCTTTGAAGAGTATATAAGTCTAGTTTGGTGGCCCTTGTGGACAAGCTGAAGCCAATCGGTGATCAAGATGCTTCTTGCAAGCAGCCGCCTGGTTGCAGTGGTTGTTCTTCAATCCAGTCTTGGTCTACAGCTCTGTTACCTCAGCTCTCTCCCAGGACGATTGATTAGCTGGAGGCGCTGATTTCGCAACTGGACAAGAACTATGAGCTCTTGTTGGACTATCAGGCTGAAGGGAAGATCGGCGGCTACACCAAGGAGTTCCTTGTCTAGTCAATTCTTACAAGCTTCATGCACAAATTGAATAATTAAACTAAATTGTTTTTCCTACAATGTGGAACAACCGGTCAGCTTTAAAAAACGGATGATCAGCACAGAAAAATACATGATTCCAAGCAAAGTTTGTTGAAATAAGGCTTTCTGACAAGATCGATGCGGTATTCACTGAGTTGAACAGAGCGAAGCTTGGTTTGCAAAAGGCGCTGACACCATCTCTCTCTATCTCTCTCTCTCTCTCTCTTTCTCTGTCTGTCTGTCTCTCTCTCTTTCTCTCTCTCTCTCTCTCTCTCCCCCTCTCTTGCTTTATCCTTGTTGTTTTTCCCTGTCCCAGTTTTCCAAATCACAATCACTTAATGCAACGCCAATGTTGCTGAGGATGTCGAAAGCCACAGCTTTGGAAGCATCCGCCAAGCCACGGCCCCGGGTTCTCCAACTAGCGGTCCAGCTTGGCTTGCAACACAGAGTAGAGACGGAGCTTTCCTCAGTTCTGACCTCGGCTTGCCCAGGTGTTTCATGCCGGAGGCCAAGCGTGCCAAGAGGGTGAAGCCTGAAGACTAGGCTGTTGTATCACCATTTTGAATAGGTACAATTGTGCCTATGTAGCTAATTATCGGCTATTCCCACGTCTTTTCTTGTTGAAGAAATCATTCTGGCTAGTGACTAAATTGCACCATGACACTTGCTGTTGAACGTGGGCTGAGCTTTGACCAAAGGGGTTTGCAGTGCGGGAACGGTGCAGGATTTCACGCACCATAGAACCTGCGCCTGCGTTGAGGGAAAATGAACTTTCCTTGGCTCCTGTTGATTGCTCACTACCGTAAGCCATCTCAACAAAATGATGTTTAAAACTTTTCAAATATGCCAGGTGATCGGCAGATTCCTTTGAGTGATACCGTGCGGCACATAGCCAAGATGTATGCGAAAGGGGCTGCTCGGCATATCAATTATTTAACATGGATCCCCTGGATTTACTGTAAAAGTATGTAACAGTGGTTGTGTCAACGCCTACTTCCTTTGTTGATCCACTCACCTCCTTCCAATCTTTTCCCTTTGGCTAGCCAAGGTTCCTGCCAAGGATTGTGTAGAGGAAGCCAAAGCTGCATCCAGACGCGTTCCATGTCCTGTGTTGGCTCAGTTGGCAAAAGCCAAAGTGGAGTCTGCAGACGAACCTCTATTTCGAGTTTTGAGTGGGTGTGGATTGGCATGCAACATCCCGAGAACCACTGTGAATTTGGATGAGACTTTCAAGTACCCGTGTATCCACCCCAAAGATTTTCTGGAAACTATGGCAAACAGGGGTTATTTAGCCAGGACCCTTGGGATGCCAGTAGCCTGTGCAGAACGCGCTCTTCCGAAGTTTTTGGAAGATTTCCGAAAAAAAAACCTGACCACGATGTGTTCCGGGCACCTCACGTTGATTTCACTCATTTGGTACCATATTACCTCCATGGTGACGGTGGCCGTACATACAAAAAAGGATTCAATTTTGATATGCTCTATGTTTCCTGCGCTTGGTGAGGGGACATCCTCGAACCCTGTTGATCTTTATCCTGTGCCCGGCCAGCCTCAGAAAATGAAGGGCCGAAAGCGAAAGCACGCACATGGCGACAGCACCGGCCAAGATTTTGAGGCCGGCATCAACTTACTGGGTAATACGCTGGCCTCTCGTTTCCTGTTTGCACCCTTGAAAGTGGAATTTTACAAGAAAAAACCGGAAAAGGTTTGAGACACTCATGGATAGTTGGGGTAAATGGATGCAACAAATGTTCGAGGAAGGCTTCTCTTACAATGGGGAGACTTGGCGCATTCTTGTCTTTGGCTTGAGTGGTGATGCTCCATTCTTAAGGGAAGCTGGCTTCCACAATCGATCGTTTTCCAATGTGAGCAGCAACAACAACGGTATTGAAAGGAGTCTGCTGGCTGTGTGATGCAGGCCGCACTGGTGGCCCAAATTTTGAGGATCCTGATTTTTTGAACGTTGCATGGGTCTCCACAACTGGAATCAATAACCCTCTCCCATGGGATGATGAGCCAGGGCCATTATTACAACACTTGCTGGCGAACCAAAACGACTTGGCATCTTTCTACCTTCCTGATATCTTTCACATATACCATTTTGGAGTGGGGAAGGACTTTGTGGCTTCAAGTCTGATCTACCTGATAAAGACCGCTTTCAAGAAGAACAACATGGCTGTGAGCATGGATGCATTCAATGCTAGATTGCAGGCACACTTTCTGGAACACAAAAGTGACAGGTGTCATTTTGGGAAGACAATGACATTTGATTTACTAGGATATTCATCGAGCAAAGACTACCCGACTGGCCACTGGAGCAAAGGTGCTGACTGCTAGCCTTTGCAAAGTTGTTGAATGCATTGCAGGTGAAGTTCTTGTAGCTAATGCTGACTTATGCGACGATTGGATCCTGAAAACTATTTTAGCTGCTGCTACTGCACTTGGAAACTTCTTCCGTGTGGTTTTTCGCTCACCCTACAAGCTGAAGCCAGATGATGCCCAATCGGCAATTCTTGATGTGTATCGGTTCTGCAGACTGTATGTGCTCCCGGCCCACCGGTGTCTCACTCAAAAGCTTTGCCTTTTCAAAGTGAAACCAAAAGCCTAATATGCTTTGCCACATCGTAAGGAAAATGTGGGCTCGTTATCAAATTGACCCCAATTCCGTCACAAACCCATTAGCTTTTTCCACTTTTCAGGGAGAAGATTTCGTGGGTAGAGTCGCCCGCATCAGCAGGCGAGTTTCAGCAAAACTCCATGGTGTAAAAATAATGCACCGATACCTTGTGGGTATAGAGATTGCCCTGGAGGAAGAGGTTGCCGGATGAAAAAATGAACCGAGAGAACAATTTGCATGCTGTGGAGACGGTTGGTTTCGAAATCTTACAGTCCTCGAAACCCCAAACAACCAGGTTTTGTTGAAACGTCCATTTCTTAAATGGAAATGTCTTCGACCATTCTTAACTGGTTGTATAGTTTCCTAGGTATATACAGTATATATATATATGTATATATATATATATATATATAGCGTATATATTAGCTCCATTTAATAGATTTTAATCTGTAATCCATAGGCTTCCCCGGGGCCGTCAAAAACATCGCTGCCAGGCGTCACCCACGAGGCCGCTCCCTCTGGAAGACAGGCCGACAAATTCTCTGTGCTGATGAGGCACCTTGTCAAAAGGGGATGGAAAGCATCACTAGATATACAATCAGTAGCTATATACATACATATATATATATATATAACCTGATAAATCTAATAATACCTAATATGACTTCTTAATGTGTGGAATGGCAAAATGGTATGGAAAGTACATACAACCAGTAATTACCTATCTTTATATGTATATTATGATATATTACGTGTATATAATATACATATATATATATATATGTATTTGTTGTCAATGTTTATGGAGATTGTCGAAATAAGAAAAAGCACCTGAAATTGGCAGGAGCACAAAGACATGCCAATCACCGATGCTGGTGTTCTGCTGTTGAAATTCCAAGATTTACCCATTCACACATATTCAAACACCACCAATCTGCCAGTAAGGAGACACATTGCAAAGATTGGGCGGCCTTGCCAAGAACATAAGGAAAAGGCCTGATATCACCAAGACCAAACCTGCCTGTTGAGAAACATGCAAATAGGATGTGTTAATGCTCAAAGCCGCCCCAGTGTGTGCATTCCAAATCATTCCAACATGTCTCAGTTTTCACAAGAAACACTGCCATAAGTGTTCAAAGCAGCTGCCCGTCAATCACCAAAATGGTCTATGTGGGTTTGTCTGAAAAGAGGGTAGCCTAAAATCCAATGGATTATCATGTCCTCTATTCGAATGACTATTTTGGGGTACACCGGTATGCCACGTTTTCAGATACACCCATATCATTCGAAGGCCGCGGGATTATCTTTTCCCATCTTCCAGTACTTGGTGCTGATTTCCCGGCTTCATGGAACATACGTGTTGTCATGTGTTATCCGATGTGTTTTACCTCTTGATTTCAACCCCCCAAAAAAATCTGAAAGTCAAGTCTAGGATAGAATCATCATCCCAAAAAATGTCCCCAAGCCTACGGCCGCATCTTCAAAAATCAATGCCATCAAGCCACGGAATTGCTGCCTCAACCATCTGCCCCAGCAACATTGTGCTTAGCTCCTGTGGATCTTGTGGCCGAGTCGGTTGATACTGGTGAAACTATGTTGAACCCCAAATGCCAATGCGTTGGGGCCAGACATGATGATCTTGTAGTTCTGGATCGCTTGGATTACTTGGATTCCTATCAGGGTTTTAGAGTTCATCATCAAGTCTTCGCAATATCGGCGCCAAAATAGAGGGGGGAAAGTCATCATTCAAAACGGAAACGCAGATTTCAGCAGACTGTGGATCTCATCAGAAAACTAAGGCCTGGAAGCTGCAAAATGGGGTCCCAAGATACAACTTTCAGCAGTCGAGATACCAAGTTTGAGGTTCTGGTTCACCATAATTTTTGTGCCATTTAAAACTGAGCTAATTGTGGATCCCTGACCCAATCTTGAACGCTGTATGGCGGATGCTGGCGATTTCTACAGAGATACAACTATTGCTGATGTTGCTACTTCAAAGGTTTCATAGGCCTATTATATGGGAAATCCTTGTGGAGAGAAGGGGGGAAGCTCCGAAAAAAATAATTTTGCACTGATCCACTTGTCGAATGGTAATGCTTCTGTCACCTGAGTTTCCTAAGCATCAATAACCTCTGCGTGATGTGTTTGATTGACTTGGACGCCGATCAACTGCCGTGAAATCTCATTTTTTGCCCACTCACCAGACCCCACTCCTGCTTGAGAGTGGTGCGAGCCAGTCTTCCGGAGGCTCGAAGCTCTGCTTGCGAAAGAAGCAAGGCCAAACCTGACAAGACACACAGGGTTGCTCCCACAAGTTATATATTTATATGTTGTCTTTTTTTACATGGTTATATAACTATTCTTATTTTACTGTATCACTAATTATTATTATATAGTATAACTATTATTTCTATTTTGCTCCCAACACTCCAGAGATAAGGCGGAAACAATTGGCAAATGAATAGGTAAAGTTCCGTCCCTTGTGGCATTGATTCACTCACAGTTGGTTGGAGCAACCCTGACACACTTGGCTTTGTCGAACAGCCCAAGTCTCATAGTGTCAGGTTCCAGAAGCTACTTGTGGACTGGTTGTATATTAATACTGCTGGGTTGATGGGAATTGCCACAGAATTTCATCAGCCCTGTTGAACCAGCAAGCTGACCGACCCCCAGATTTTAGTACGCGGCATTCAAAACGAACCTACGACCCTCATCACCAGAGGACCTGGTTAAGAGGAATTCCAGGATTCTGATAACCCCCGATAAAGGATTAGAACGGGTAATATATGGTAGCCTGGTAGCATTGTAATCCCAACATATCCCAGCACTAATCATCAACTATCATCAACCATCAACCAACCCGGGGGATAACTCTCAGCCACTGCTGTGGTTCATCAGGCCTGCAGGTTGCAAACGCATGGCTTCACATAGCTTGAAAGAGGACCTCAGGAATTATTGGATTCACAACACATAGCAACACCATCCAATCTGCACCATCCAGCGATGGTAACACATCACGAAGCTCTATGCATTAAACAAACATGAAACATTAGAGAGATGGCAACGCACCTCTTGGCAAAAGAACAACTTTGATGCACTTTGATTCATTTGGGTGGTTCTCAAAATGTTGGTTCCTGAAAGGAGGACACTTTTGTATCCTGGTGGGGGTCCCGTATCCAGCTATATTCACTTTTTGGTCTTGAGCTTGGATCTGATTGAACTCATCAAGTACCGTCAAATATATACTATATACCTGCAGAATGTTTCTGAAATGATCTGGAATGTGTCCTCAGCATGACGCTGAGCCAGCGCGAGACTAGCGGCTTTGGTGAGAAAGCATGATGGCAAACCAGTAGTGCTCCAGAAGACAAAATATGTTAACCTCCCTTTTGAACGGGGACCACTCTGTTTTATCCCGTGGGATGAACGGCAGGTCAACATTCGCTGTTCAGACTGTTCACCCCCAAAAAATAAACATAATTAAAAGTGTGTTCCATCAGCACAACCCTGAAACCATGGTGGATGCTGGACCTGTTCCCACCCTGAAACCTGCGAAGCTCCCAGTGACTGAAAGTCCTCCGACGCCAAGCCCAGCCGTGCAGAGGCGCCAAGGCGTTGCAGGGGCTGCGACAAACAGCCCAGGCGAAAGCTGCTGGTAGCAGCGAACTGGGCGTCCAGTACAACCAATGGATTGAAATGGTAGCCTTCAATGGGGAAATCATGATGCAACATCAAATTGGGGGTTACACCATTTTCGGACCAAGCCATTTCGAGATTTGTGTCTTGATATGTCTTGATGTTTGATGGTTCTCCTGGATACTTCTGAGTTTACGTTCAATAAACAGGGAAAAGTAGGATGAGATTGCTCCAAGCAAATCCAACCATGTAAATCAATGATTGCCACATATTTCCACAACTTGCCCAAGAAAGCGAGCTACTAGAAAATAAATCCAAACAGCTCCAAACAAAGCCAAGAGGCATGATCTTTCAAGTGCCATCGAAAAGACGACTGCAAGGGTCGAGCAAATAGGACCACTGGATGTCCAATGACAGTCAGATGATGCCTGTGCTGCCAAAGCTGGGTCGAATCTATGACTACATCTGTTGATGATCCGCCCTCCCAATAATGATCATCAAGAGGATCGGTGTATACATCTGTTCGGAGTTGTTGGTTCCATAGCGTTTTCGACCGCAACCAAACAGACTATTTCAAAGCTGGGGCTAGGGATATTTCAAGCGTCTAAGGGCAAAATATTGTAAAGTGAACATCTAAGGAGCATCAAAATGGGAAATCTCCAAACCAGGCGGAGGCTCCACGGTATCACTGCCCAGCTGCAGGTAGTGTGTCAGAAACTCCCAGCTCTGAGGATCATTTTCATCACCACCATCTACCAGCAGAAGTACCCTCCGGCTGTAGAGTGCCTGGAATTTCCATCGTTCACGGGGTGCCTATGATGACTCTACTCAGTGCTTCTGATCCGATTAGAAACAGTACCTATATTGGATTCATACTGTGTGAGTGAAGGATTTCTCAGGCCTATGGATTTTCTATGATTTTCTGAGGTATTTGACCCCAACATTCCCATGTGCCCATTGATAACATGTGCCAAGCTCACCTGCCACAGGACGAGGTAGGTGGACGCGGAGCTCCGTTGACGCAGCAGCACCTGGGAAACATCAACCCCTGGTTGAGAAACATCCATCCAACTTATTGATTGGTGATATGATATATATATATATATTGCAAGTATATGATGTATGATGGATATCTCATCCATCCATATATGATATGATAAATATCGAATCTACAGTGTACAGTATTAACATCGATCATCCTAATACTCACTTTTGTGTAAATAAACACTGGGACAAGCACATCTGCCTGTGTACTGACCGTAACAACATGCTGCCACAAGAAATCCCTAATCATCTAATAGAAAACCATCTTGGATGAATTAACTGGACATTTTTTGTTCCGTAGTTTGTTGATCTCCTCAAAGTCTTGTTTCAACGGGATCAATAATATGTATCAATGGTGTTTACCCTCTGGTAAACTAAACATAGCTATGGAAAATCACCATTTTTAATGGGAAAATCCACTATAAATGGCCATTTTCAATAGCTATGTTAAATTACCAGAGGGTAACCCAACTAAGCCCTCCAGAATTTCCAGGCCAAGGCGCATCCAGCACATCTCCCTCCGTACAGCAGCCACCAGCCGGGCACAGAATCTTCACCTCGGAGAGACTCGGATCCTCCAAGAATATGCTGTTCATCCAAACAGGGCATAGTGACTAGATAGTTGTCATAACCAAAACTGGCAACAATCTGGCTGGTTAGGTCAAGATTCAAGATATTTCAAGATTATTGGGCCAGAATGGACCGTATTTTTGACCGAAAGAGCGAATGAAAATGGATGTTCATCCTGCCAAATGTAGTCTCACATTGACCCACAGTGCCACTTGAGGCAGGAGTCAAGTCCTTAGGCACAAACAAATTAGCTAACTGGCTGGCATGAATCCTATTGAATCCTCCCACTTTTGACTCACATTTAGCAATCTCTTTCTGGCATGATACTATATCCATCTATATCATGTCCTAAAAACCATTTGAAGCAGCCATGCCAGTATGTACCTTACTTTTCCTGATGCTGTATACTTGGGATAATTTGTAATTTATAGGCGGAGTACAGAATTTAGAAGCCATTAGAAAGCCATTGGAAATGGAGGGTAGCCGCTGCAGTGAGCCAACGATATCAACGGCCGCTGCTTCTGGGGGAAAAACCTCCAACCGTCCATCTGGATGGTCAAACAGCAAAGCTGCAAGCTGGTGCCTCCCAGTGATTGTACAGTAAGTTGGCTTACAACCACCACAAACTAACCACGGTTATCCATTATAGACTACTGTATAGACATATCTACCATAAATCCTAGTTTATCGGACTTATAAATCAACTTAGCTAACGAACTGGGGCACAAACCTGCCATGCTCAAAGACTTGTCTCATGGCCAGTTTTATACCTCCAAGTTACCAGTAATTATATAACCAATATCATAAAGCTCAAATACCATAATCTGCCAAGGCACTATGTCCTTAGCCTCCAAGATCACAGGCAGTATACCTCCAAGATGGGAGGTTGTTCTAGTTCAAGGCCAAGTCTGTGGATTTGTTTGCAAGTAATGACTGCCTGTGCTGCCTCGAACTCACCGACTGTGTATGTATATAATACAATACATTAGATATCAAAATAACTGAGGATCTAAATATGCGTCGTTTTTTTTGGTTCCCGCTGGTTTTCCGTTTTCTAACGCGTTTTTGGGACGGAGTAGCTAGATCATGTGTGCCGAAAAAAAATATATATTGTTTGGTGGTTTCCATTGTTTTTTTCCGAGTTCCAAATTTTGGTTTCGAATCGATATGTCGATTACGAGGATGTTTTTTTTGAAGGTGCAAGGATAGGAAAATGTTGAGAATGGGAATCAGCAGCTGCTTGAAGTACCATTTGTACCAATGTTTTTTTTCTCGGACTGCTTTATCGAAGCCATCAAGAGAATTCCGAGCTGAAAATCATTGCTATTTTTTTTTGGTGGCTGCTATTTGCAGCGAAACATCATGTTTCAATCGGCAATTGGAACTACAATCGCGGGAAGCTGAATACTGATCGTATGAAACAATATTTTTCAAGGTGCTTTTTAGCAACCCTGTTTGGGTTTTTGGAGTGCAAAATCAGTTTGTCGGTGGCTAGAAATGCCGATGCCTTGCAGCCATTTACCGGGTTGTGCGCATGATTATGCACATGTGGTTTCATTATGTCATTGTTCATTGTTACATTGATGATATTTTCACAGTTCCACGGTGTACCAGACCATTTTTTTTCGAGGCAAGACCCTGCTATTGATTCGGTGAATTGGTTTCAAGACCCCTCCGCTGTGAAGAATCCAATCAAACGTAGAAGCACAAAAATCACAGCTTCATATTGCAATATCAATCCTTTCAGAGCCGATGGATCGGAAAGAGTGGTCTAATGTGCTGGTTTTGCTGGTGTCGGAGGTGCTCGCAGCACTTCGGAATGTGGCCAGGCCAGTTCTTGAGAGCCCTTTCACTTTGACCCACAAACAGTGGGTGCCAATTCTGATTGCAACTTGCGTTCGGCTTGGCTGGGTCTCGGAACATGCGGCCAGCGAGAGATCAGCAAAAACCGAAGTCTTTCGTGCCATGTCTGTCTTGAACTTGCAACACCGCAACGTGTTGACCTGGGAGCAAGTTGTTTCAATTTTTGAGCAGTTGTTCCAGCAAAGCAAGCCTGGTTCCAATCATGATCGCATTCCTTGCCCACCAGGGCTCTTGCGTGATGCCGAGTTTCGGATTTTTCACAAACTGGGTGAAAGGTTTCGGGAAAGTAGTGTTCTCACCGATGTTTCTCCTGCATCTGCTTCAGCTTTGGTAGTGGTCAGTCCGGTTTCTGGTCAGCAAGCTGGGTCTGTGAGAGTGTCAAGCGCACAGTCTAGACGACACTCTGTTTCCACCATGTCATCCGCATCTATGTCACCACAGTCTGTGACGTCCGCCCACCAAAGTGTTGTTTCTGTAGACCATTTGTCGCAAGTGCCAGGGCCAAGCGGCCTAAGCATAGTGATGCCGGCGTTGCCGCAAAATTTGGATGATTTAAGCAGGGGGGAGTTGAAGCAACTCCTAGTTGACCAGCATGCGCAGTGGATCCGCGCAGCAAACCGAATTGCGACAACATCTGCCCAGAGGGCGCCTGCTGCTAGCAAAGTAGTGCAAAAGCAACATCAACGGAAAGTTCGATACTGGAAGAATAAAGCCAAGAGAGACAAAAGCAAGGTTCAAGAAAAGTTCGACCAACTTGTTCGGGAGACAGACCCTTACATTCACTCAAAGAGACGGAAAAAAACGGCTTTCCGGATGAAATTATCCATCTTTGGAGGCTTGGGGTCGGCGTCCGAAGTCCCAAGAAAGGGTTTGGGTTTTGTTTCAAGTTCACATTTTCCGTGGTCCTAGATATGTATTGGTGGAAGGTGGCGCTCTTGCAAAGCATACCCCCGAAGCAAACCCCCAAAATGAAGATCATTTTTGAGGGCTTGTTGATGGTTGTTGTTTGGAGATCATGGGTCGCGACACTTGCTTCATGCTGCCTTTAGGCGCCCTTTGTGCCATCCCGCCCTCCATCCCCGCAGTCTGGCTGCCCTATGCAGCCAAGTAGGTTGAAGACAGCTTCGGTGCTGACAGGCCGCTGTAGCTTCATGCTGCCTTTAGGCGCCCTTTGCGCCATCCCGCTCTCCATCCCCGCAGTCTGGCTGCCAGACAAGTAGGTTGAAGACAGCTTCGGTGCTGACTGACCGCTGTAGATTCATTGTGGCAGCCGATACCGTTTGCATCGACCAGCTTCTGGTGCTGACTGGCCGTTGTAGCTCCTGTCTAGATCTGATACGGTGTGCTGAATAGTGCTCCGCGAATCATACCCGAATCACACCCGTTTCATACCTCAAACCTTCAACTTCCAGACACTGGCACATTTTGAACGCGTGAGTAAGATACTTCACATCTCTGCATACCGCCATGGCACCAAAGCTATGACTTGAACCAACCACCTGCTGTCAGGAACAAATGTGCTTCCTACAGCCAGCTATGCCTTGAACCAACTATACCTGCTGTCAGAACTAGCCTCAGGCTTCATCTGTACTTGGGTAAGCCAGACTCTGGCCCTTGGCGGTTGATTTAGACCAGAAAACCAAACGTGTCTCTCTCTCTCTCTCTCTTTCTCTCTCTATCTCTATATATATATATATATATATATATATGCGTGCAAGGATATACACAGAGATATATAAAAGGTTGGAAAGTTTGGTGGAAGCCTCTTAGGTATGAAGTAAGTTCCATGTGATGAAGTTCATGCGAAGCAGACCCCGAAGCATACCCCCGAAGCAAACTCCGAAGCATACCTCCGAAGCATACCCCCTAGACAAATCAAACCTTCCAGTGGGGATACGGTATTTCCAGACGAATCTCAACAAAGATGGGGTGGTTTGCAAATTTGATGTAATCAGGTTCGGGGTGTCCAAATCCCAACGAAGTGCGCTTCCAAACATGTAGACAGGTGGGCATACAAATATGCAAATAACGGATATCAAAAGATATATTTACACACGACACGGTGATAGGATATGATGCGCGAATATGGTCATGCCGCCTATTTTGTGGTAGGTTTGGCGCCATCCTTGTTTTCCAAGACCCTGCAGGTTACCGCCTGGCTCTTTCGCGAAACGTGGGTCATAGCTCTTGCGCTGCTACGCTGTGCATGCTTGATGCAGATGCTTCACACGAAACCACATTGGTCCGGTGGGAGAACTTGCTTGCCTCCAGTGTGGTTGCAGATCAGAAGGCTTGGCATTCCTGCTGGCAAAGATGTTTAGAGATTCTTTGATGGCAACTGACAGGTCTGGGATGGCCATGTTAACTGTTGTTGTTTACTGATTTGATTCACCGGTTGGCGTTGTTTCACTTGGTTTGAACACCGCTACTGACTGCCATGTTTACCAGTAACCCTTCAATTTGGCAATGAACTAGCTAGCTGCCAAGAATATAGTATTCACAAAAGGTTTAGGCGTAGCGTTCTGACACGTTAACAGTATTAGCGCATGAGAATGTGACAAGAGAACTTCAAGAGAACATCAAGTGTTAAGACTGTTAAGAGTTTCTTCAGTCCAAGGATGTCGCCTGGCGACGCACCATTCCAGATTCACATTGTGCGTGGGGATGGAACAAACAGCGCCGCTGCTCAACAGTCGAAAGTTCATTTTGCAATGAGCATCTCATCTTACTGCGCTGGGTTGGAATTTGACGACCCAGATGCACCCCAGCAGTCTGTAAGATCATGTGTAGCTGATTTGCAGTTTCTACCGACATCTTGCACAGGAAAAGATTTGTTCGAAATCTACAAAGTCCAAATGCGGAGCATGGGGTTGCCTGCTTTCGAGGGCCCAATACCCAGCGACAATGTGCGTGTGATTGTGTTCGTGACAGATGATGGTCCCGACCAAAAAGGTGCTCAGAAACTAATGGCATCTGCACTGCATGAATATGCTTCAACTTTTTTCTTCCGATTCAAATGTATTCTGCATCAACTTCATTTGATTGTTGGGAAGCAACTGAAAAGACTCGATGGTCACTACTCGCAGATCGCTAAAGTTGTCAATGTTTGGAGATCGACTGGCAACGCTTGGAAGATTTTCCAAAAGTACACCCAAATGTTCGG